ATGGTTCGGAACACATGACCCGATGATTAATACTCTTTTATTTTACATTAATCGTAAATTTGTAAAGATCGCCGAGAGATCGCCTCTTGTATCATTCAATTACATGTATGAAGCATTTAGGCTTTTCTGTAAAATATAATGATGACGGAAGAAGTTGTGGTAGGTTATTCAGTATGTGCCGAGTTTTTTAGGTTATTAAAGGTGTTTTCTGTCACTACTTGTTTTGCCTGCGTTAATGCATTTAGTGTAAGCTGCACCATTAATTATCATCTTATTGAGTAACTAAATTACTTTTTTAAAAATGTCATTTAAATACAAATTTACTGATGTAATTCATAAGTAATGACTTTAGAAGTAACTTACCCAACACTGCCTATGGGTAATTTGATAATTGTACATAAACAATTTGTATTGTAATGTTTTCTGACTCTGTCATAGATGTCCAAGACAAATTTCCCAGAAATAGCACAAAGTACAAACCAACAGAATGGAACAATACTTTGGTCTTAACAGTTACATCATGTGGATAGTTTGGGACATTAACAGGAAACGCTCTGAATCCTACCAGCTGTTGGAAATACATTTATTCCACACATAGTGCGAGTGAAATTTGAGTTAACTGAACCAGGCAACCACTGCACCAATGTTTCAGTTGGAACATGGGAACCCTGGGTGGTTGCTATCCTCCCAACCCTTCCATGATCCTTCCTGCCAATTCCCGTCAGTCCCAAACATTGCTTCCCAAAACGTGCTGCCATGTGACCTCTGTACACACTAGTGAAGTTGTAGCATCTGGTCCACAGAGAGGGGACCGGCTTTTATGAGCAGGTAACTCGAGTGGAATCACGACTCTAGATTTACACGCAGTTGCTGCTGCTGGATTGCCAAGTGAGATATAATTAGCGTTTGATCTGGTCTTTTGGTAAAGTCATTAAGTTGCAGGAAAACTCTTCTGGGTTACTGTACCTGACACTGAGTTTGACTTTGAGGAAGGTGGAGCTTTGGTTTGGTTGAGAGAGAGTTCAGCCCAATTATACACTTGAAGCTTGTCATTGTAAACTCAAGAAAGCAAAGCCTGAATGGCTCCGGTTTGGTTTTAAGCAGTGAATTTATCTTAATGTTGCAGTAATGAATAAATAGTTTTACTTTGTTTTTAATTATATTTTGTTGTCATTTTACATTTTTATAATTTTAAGGGTTTTTTCTCAAATCATTTAGTTTTTCCTCTCTTTAACTCAACTCTTAAAGCTACAGAAAAGCTTTATGAATGCATTTTGAAAACACAATGAATTGACCTGGAGTGACATGACAATAGACTTTGAACAAGCCATCATTAGTCTGTCAGATCACAGGAAACCCAAACCCAAGCTGAAGGGGGAAATTCTTCTACTTTGCGTTCATTTCAAAGAGTTTATAGGTATAGTGTCCACGTTCATATTGGAGTGATAGAAACATAATAAATCTCTTTTTTTTAATTCCTGATGTTAAAATAGGAGCCAAATCCCTGCGATTCTGAGGCCCACCACTGAATTGATTGACAGACAAGACAAAACATGCGCAAAGCAACTGGAATTAAAAGCTCTGTTCAGATCTCTGTGATCATCTGCACCTCAAGAATGAGTTTTACAAGTTGAAAATGTTTCAAAAGCAGTGCATGTTTGTAATAAATACTGTAAAATTGCTGTAATTCATCACCACAGCCGGGTATCAGTACAATTATAAAAGAAGACGGTTCAATCCTGGTTTTAGGACTTAAATTAGGTTTAATTTGGACATTAACACAACTGATGTCCATACAGCAGTGGATATTATTGTGTATCCTGTCACATTTGCCGTGCAAAAACCGTGTAAAGCTAAACGTTTGTGTGTTTGCGTGAACATTTATAATGGCATTGTGTGTGACTCATCCTTGCAGAAAGGCTTGAATTTACTCCACAAATACATCAAATAACTGTAGTAAGGGAGATCTGCTTTTTTTCTTGTCTGTCACTGTGCTGTTTATTTAAGTGAAGGAAACACACATCAGAGCAATACAGAGAGAGCTCTATGGCATTAAAGACACAGGCAACAAAAAACAGCTACAATGTCATAACAGCTCAAATGTCTCAGATTTAGAAAGGTGTAGTCAATAATCTGATGGGTGTTTTGAGCTGAAAGCTTTACAGACTCATTCTGGAGACACAAAAGACACATCTTAAATCTTGAAAAAGAGGTAAAAAAAAGGTGCCCTTTAAACTATTTGGGTTGTCACAACACTGCATTGGAAGTAAGGTTTGAGATGCGCTCTCAAAAACTCAGTTTAACAAAGCTGCGATTGTCATGCACATCTTGTCAATGGTTGTGTAATCAGTAGTAAGTCTGTCGCTTTCTCACATGGAAACTCTAAACACCCACCGAGAAGAAACCCAGGAAATCCTCATACACTCAAAATAGGATGTTTGCTGTTTGTTGAAGCTACTTATTTAAAATGAATTGAAACGGCACAATTCTTGAGGGTTTTATTTGGGACAACTTAATAGTTTTATGTTCGATCCACTTAGATTTATAAAAACAAAGAAGTTCATTTGATTCCTTCATGTTGTCCCAACACAAGAGATGCATTATAAACATGCTTAACTGCTTTCATTGGTTTAGCGTGACTAATAATCACATGAAGATGGTATCCACTTACAGAATAATTTAGCAGTTATGAAGTGAGTTTGGAGTAAAATCACGTTATAGTGGTATTTTCACATGAGCAGTAGTTCATTAAATGACTATGCAAACGGCTGTCATTATCACAGAACGGTTTTCTCAATGTCATCGTCGTCCAATTAAATCAATTTTGATCATTTTTAAGTGGTGGATTGACTTAGTTTTGCCATTTAATCCCTGTGACTAAACACAATTTAGATGGTAAAAGCTCAGTAGGCTATTTTTAGATCATGGATCCACTCTTTAAAAAAACCTATATAAAGTAGTCAAGTAATTGGCTAGTTTGGCTAGTTGTTGGATGATTGTAACTCATTCCTTGTAGCTATAATTACATTTAATGCATTGTCCCTAACCTCGGTTAAAGTGTGGGTGTCAGAGGTGACGAAATATTCTGGCTTTGGTTTTATTTTAGAATTAAAAGTACTGGGTTTGAGTGTGCTTATTTACTGTTGGCTCCTATAAGAATGTTTAAGATGTATAAACACATCTTCTTATTGCATGTTACTGTTACCACTTAGGTTCCTGGCTGCTGACCAATGTGCAACTGCTTATGAGCTCAGAGTTATAGAGTGGTTTTAGCTTAATCTGTTTTCTTTTCACATGTTGAATTAACATTTACATTTGTGTTCAGTTTGATCTAAATGGGGGGTAACTGGGAAAACACATTTACAGTCGGATGCCTGTCGAGGTGGCAACTTAATGACTTTATTTTTAGTCAAATTATCAAAATCATTTCTAAATATTTATGTTTTTTTTTTCTTTTTTTTTTCTTATTATTTTTTTTTTAACAAGATGGCTCAGGATGTCGTACTAAAATGCTATATAAAGGCCGGGACACACCAAGCTGATGGGTAGCTTTTGGGCTTTGTTGGCTGGCTAGTTGGGTTAGTGGTGGAGCTTGTTGGCCAAATTCAACGCGTAGAATTGGCCGTCGGCTGAAGAGAGCACACTGATTGGTTATTCAACTTGTAAACTTGCGCTGAAGCGTACAAGCGGACCTTGTTTTGAACTTTCTCTGCCTCACTCATAGTAAGATCACAGTGCTTGAATGTAGATTGAATGTGATGGACAGTTGCTGATTGGTGTGTGTCTGTCCGTCCAAATGTTTTGGCATACTACCCGTCTCCGTTCCAGATTTGTTTTAGTTGTTTTTACGTACAAAAATGTAAAGCATCACAAGCAATGTATCAAAATTCCACCAATTTCTTGATTTCCACTGATTAATACACTTTTGATGAGCAGAACTCTCTCCTCTCCTTCTATGCAGTATTGGATGAACACAATATGTCGTCTATTCCTCTTTCTTGTTCTACTTTTCTGAAATTGTATACACATTGCACTCCGTGTAAGGTTTATTTACATGACGAACTTTTCAGATGTGAACACAAAAAAACACATACGAAAATGTTATACTTCAGTGTGCAAAGACCTTTACTGTCTCCAGTGCTTGAGTCTATAGCCCCTTTCACACAGTGATACCGGTAAATATCCAGAAAATTTCCGTAACGACTTTACCGGTATATTCAAAAAAGCGCTGTTCACACAGGTGAGGACGTTACGGAAATTTTCCGGAAAAGAGCATTCACACATCCATTCCAAAATACCGGTAAATTCTGACATCATTCACCACAAATGAGCTTTAAACGGCTGCGCTTGTATTTGTAAACATTTGACTAAATTACAAACTCTGTGGATGATCAATATTGTGAACAACTTTCGCAGGATCACTTTCGCATGTCGAGATGTTCATAATATGTGCGTGTGCTGGCGCTCACAGGCACACGCAAAGCTTGAAGGTAAACAAACAACAGCTTATCATAAGCATCTCATCGATGATTATTTACACAGTTGGCATTAAGAAGAACATATAAACATGTTCTGACTAACTTCTAGCAGCTAAATGTGTCTGGAAAAATATTCAAAGGCGTTTATTCTCACAAACCGCACGGATGCAAATGCATCTGACTGTTGTGATTGGCTAAAGCAGACGTCTCACGTCAGCACGTTCTAGACGTGCACGCGCTTATTACAGGAATCTTCCTTCTGCATTCACACAGCGCAGCATTCCGGCAAATTGCCGGTAATGTTACAACTTCTCTTTCCGGAAAATAGCCAGAACGAATTTACCGGTAGTTTCAAAAAGGACCTGTTCACACATACAAGCTTTCCGGAAAATTGCCGGTAATTTTCCGGAAAGGTCTGCATGTGTGAAAGGGGTTTATGTGTGTTAAAGTGCCTGTGATGTCCTCCACAGTTGATCACTGATTCAGTTAATTTGACCTTGCTTTTCTTGTTTTGGTTCACAGGTCCTGCGGTTCTTCTGCGACAGCTGCACCGTGCCGATCTGTAGAGAGTGCAGTTTGGGCAGACACGCGGGTCACAGCTTCACATACCTACAGGACGCATTGCAGGATTCCAGAGCGCTGACCATCCAGCTCCTCGCAGACGCGCAGCAGGGCAGACAGGCCATACAGGTTAGACAACACCTATAACCTCTCTAAAACAGACATGCAAACACCTGCCGGGGGGATTTGAATAATTGTTCTTTTTACTTTGTATGCAGCAACACTTGAGATTCCTTGTTTAAAATCTGAATATCAGTAAAAAAAAAACAAGTAGCAAACTAGTTTTATTTGTGGTTGTGACAGTGGGAATTATCTTCATCAAACAGGATCTTTACTTGATATACTACATATCTATTACTAACTATTTTTGACATAATAGAAAAATCTGCTATATGACACTATTTTTGGCTATTGCTATAAATGTAGCTCAAATGTCAGGGTGTCCGCGGGGTTGTAAAAGGTAGTAATGATACCTATATGTAGTATGATAGTAATGATAATAGCCCCTTTCACACATACAGACCTGGTAATACAGACCATACAGACCTTGCCGGTAATTTTCCGGAAAGGTCTGTATTTGTGAACAGGCCCTTTTTAAAAATATCGGTAAATTCGTTCTGGCTATTTTCCGGAAAGAGAAGTTTTAACATTACCAGTTATTTACTGGAATGCTGCGCTGTGTGAACGCAGAAGGAAGATTGCCAGGAAGAGCGTATGCAGTTCTAGAACGTGCTGACGTGAGACGTCTGCTTTTGCCAAATAGAACAGTCAGACGCGTTCACATCCGCGCGGTTTATGAGAATAAAAGCCTTTGAATATTTTTCCAGACACATTTGGCTGCTAGAAATAATTCAAATAACGTTTATATGTTCATCTTAATGCCAACCGTGTGAATAATTATCGATGAGATGCTTATGAAAAGCCGTTGTTTGTTTACCTTCAAGCTTTGCCTGTGCCCGTGAAACAGCCGGTGAGCGCCAGCACACACACATATCATGTACAACTCGACATGTGAAAGCGTTTCTCTATATGTTTTCATCGAAGTTGTTCACAATACTGATCCATCCACAGAGTTTGTAATGTTGTCAAATGTTTACAAATACAAGCGCAGCCGTTTAGAGGTCATTTCTGGTTAATGATGTCAGAATTTACAGGTATTTTAGAATTGATGTGTGAATGCTCTTTTCCGGAAAAAATCAGTAACGTCCTCGCCTGTGTGAACAGCGCTTTTTTTTTTTTTTTTTTTTTTTTTTTTTTTACTGGTAAAGTCGCTCCGGAAATTTTCCATATATTTATCTGTATCACTGTGTGAAAGAGGCTAATGATTATCTTTTTATTTGTCTGATTTTACTGTCTGTTTCTTTTGACCTCCCGTGTCATTTAAAAGAATATCTCAATGGCGAACGCGTCAAGTGTAAAAGCCTTATCCGTTTCGTGATGTGCGAGATGCGGCGCCAGGTGAAAGTATAAATCAGCGTTAAGATGTTTGTTTGTTTTTATCTGTAGGTCAATGGTGCATTTACCCTGTCTTTAAATACATTTATTTTACCCCTAATTTAGTGATTTTACATTTTCTCTCGCGTGTTTTTGATATTGCGATGTAGGTCCTAAATTTAATACTTAATGGTCATGAAAAGGTCTTTAAAAGTCTTAAATTTGACATTATGATATCTGCAGAAACCCTGTTTTAAGGTCGCTGCTTCTGACCTCAATTTTAATAGGAAATCACCAAAATACATGGTAGAACTCTGCAATTGCATACAATTAAAGAATTGTCAAATAAATAAAGATCTAAAACTTGTTCAAATACAAAAGTAGTTCCAATATCTAAATAAATGAAGCATTAGATATTGAATGACTAATAATAATAAAAATGTTTTGGAAAATAATTTCAGCACTCTCCAGTGTACTCGCTCCATAGATGTCTGTTGTAAATTGATTTAAATACTTGATTTTTGTACATTAACGCACATTGTAACTGCATGACCCTTAGCTTTGTGGAAGCAAAGCGAGTTTTTAAAAAGGGGGCCTGTAGAATCAAGCTGACTTTCCATTAGCATCACTGTGCTTTTCACCCCCCACTCAACCTCAATGAAGAGAACAGAAGAGAGGGAGAACACCAGGCCAGCGCTCGCTTACTGCCTCTATTCAGCGCCCTGATGGCCCTCGCTGGGCGTATCATTAGCCGCTCACAGAGGAAATGTTTCTATTTCTCTGACGCTCTTCAAAGAGGCTCGGTGGGGGGAGAAAACAGCACCCATTAGGGCTGTTTAGATCCGTCCTTTTCCACTGACGCAGAGTTGGTTGGCATGGAAACCTCGAAGTGAATTTGAAAGTGAAAAGCAGAAGAGGTTTCTGTTAAAGGGAAGGAATTCCAATTGCAGTTTATGTGCTTCGGCTTTTCAAACATGCCGGGAACATTTGAATACACCCCCAATGGGCTTCCCACACATGGGATTTTTCATGATACAGAATTGTGCTTGACTTTTCCTATTGAACTTAATGTGATGTGATTATAAATATCACTGGTGCGGAATTACACTTGCCAAATACAAGCAATTTAATTAGATTATTAAACCCAAACATGTCATGTCGCCTTTCTAAAAATCTTGTTAACCCAGTTTCAGAGACATTTCTCAATATTATCTTCTTAACGGGATAATTCCCCCCAAAATTAAAGTTAAAATTTATTACATGACCTTGACAATATTTTTAAAAAAATACTGTATAAGGCTATGTATTTTATGCTGTGTGAACCATTCCACCTCTACTACCAACATTATAAAACACTATTATACAAATGGACAAAACATAAATACTTTTAAATGTACATAAAAATGTCAGTACTGTGATTTGCTAAGAGAATAATGGAAATAATTTGTTCTCATTCATTGTAAAATACTCACTGGCCACTTTATTAGGTACACCTTACCAGTACTGGGTTGGACCCCATTTTGCCTTTAGAACTGCCTTAATCCAGCATGGCATTGATTCAACAAGGTACTGGAAATATTCCTCAGATTTTTTTCCATTTTGACAATAGCATCTGCTATAGGCTGCACATCCATGATGTGAATCTCCCGTTCCACCACATCTCGAATGTGCTCTATTGAATTGAGATCTGGTGACTGTGGAGGCCGTTTAAGTACAGTGAACTCCTTGTCATGTTCAAGAAACCAGTCTGAGATGATTCACACTTTATGACATGGCGCATTACCCTGCTGGAAGTAGCCATCAGAAGATGGGTACACTGTGGTCATAAAGCAGGGGTGTCCAAACTCAGTCCTGGAGGGCCGGTGTCCTGGAGAGTTTAGCTCCAACCCTAATCAAACACACCTGAACCAGCTAATCAAGCTCTTACTAGATATACTAGACACTTCCAGGCAGGTGTGTTGACACCGGCCCTCCGTGACCGAGTTTGGACACCCCTGTCATAAAGGGATGGGCATGGTCAGCAGCAACAGTACTCAGGTGGGCTGTGGCGTTGACACGATTGTCAATTGGTACTAATGGACCCAAAGTGTGCCAAGAAAAAATCAGTCCCACCGGCTTACCACCACCACCAGCCTGAACCGTTGACAGGATAGATGTAAGCTTTGATGTTGTTGATGCCAAAATCTGACTCTACCATGCAAATGTCGCAACAGAAAACGAAACTCATCAAACCGGGCAGAGTCTTTCCAATCTTCTATTGTCCAATTTTGGTGAGCCTGTGCAAATTGTAGCCTCAGGTTCCTGTTCTTAGCTGTCAGGAGTGGCACCCTGTGTGGTCTTCTGCTGCTGTAGCCCATCTGCCTCAAGGTTGGACGTGGTGTGTGTTTAGAGATGCTCTTCTGCACACCTCGGTTGTAACGAGTGGTTATTTGAGTTACTGTTGCCTTTCTATCAGCTGGAACCAGTCTGGCCATTCTCCTCTGACCTCTGGCATCAACATTTGCGCTCACAGAACTGCCGCTCACAGGATATTTTCTCTTTTTCGGCCCATTCTCTGTAAACCCTAGAGATGGTTTTGCATGAAAATCCCAGAAGATCAGCAGTTTCTGAAATACTCAGACCTGCCCGTCTGGCACCAAGGAACATAACCTTTACAGGGCTCGAAATTAACCTTTTTGCTTGGTAGCACCGGTGCTCCTAACTTTAAACATTTAGGCGCATCAGACAAAATTTAGTCGCACCCACCATTTATGAGCACCGTTACTACACGTTTTATACAAACATATTTATTGTATTTAAAATCAACACTTATCAAACTAACAAGCAAAAAAAATTATATATATATAAATGCAAGCGTGAGGAAAATATGTCTCAACGAAATCCCGTTATCACAAGAAAATAGATTTTTATAATAGAACTGAGTGAGCAAAAGCATACACGGAGCGCTCACCTGCCCTGCACGCACTTAAATGAATCTGTTAACGGTATAACTGTGCTGTTCTCACAAGTACTGTCTGATATTGCACTAATGCTTTTGACACAGATTGTAGCTTATTATATGCATACATGTTAATAGCAATACCGGTTTATTTTTATAAGTAGCGATATTAGTTTACTCAATGCAAGCCCGTTCGCGATAGTGTACGTGGTGTTCAATTTGACATATAGCTGTCCCTTGCATGGCAGACAGCATCTGGCGATTATATAAGAGATTAAACAGAAGCTCTCGTGCTAGATGTGGCAAACAGTTACCTGAAAACTCCATCCCACAGACTTTTTATAGCGGACTTGAAGCCAATGGAAGTCTTCTACTCTTGGAAAAGTGTAGATAGTGGATTAACATTTAGCACATGATCACTACTAAGATGTTTCAGTATTTATAACTTTAGATGTCATGGTTTCTAAAACAAAATCTGTCAGTGTTATCTTCATTCTCCTCTTCAGCGCTTTACAATTTTTCGCGGTAACAGCTCTCTCTCTGTCATCCCTAGCCAGAAGCGCTGACTGAGTGATTGACAGCTGATATTAACCAATCATTCGCGTTCAGTGCTAGAGCAGTGGGCCAACAAGAAGAGCGTGAAGGCGGGGCACGCGTTACGGACTTGGATTTGTTTACTGAAGCAAGTTGACATGACAACTGTTTTAAACCATTCCCGAGCGCTGCGTTTCGCGTTGCAAGTGCAGAGATGCATTCTGCGTAAATTTCTCCCGAATCCGCGCATGTGGTGAACATTTTACAGTAAAAACTGGTCGCACATAACAATTTTAAGCACTCGCAGAAATGCTCCCAAATATTTTTTAAGGTCGCATAGATAAAATTTCGGGCGCATATGCGACCAAAATGGTCGCAATTTCGAGCCCTGCTTTATGTTGAATTTTATTGAAAGTGTCAATTTCATCGAGGGGTTTTTAAAATTACGATAATTATTATTATCTCATCACCCTGCCCTAAATGTAGAATACTGATGTTTCGTGTGTGCTGCTTTTTATGGATAACTTCTGTTGCACCAGACATTATTTACAAACATACTGACCGCTTTACACTGCCATTACATAAACCTCTCCTAAAGGTTGATCAGGCTCAGCCCTGTAACACTGAAAGAGCCTGACCTGTGTTTTCATGTGCTTGATTGGCTGCTTGTTCTAGTGTGTCTCTAATCCTGTTACTAGATGGTGTTAAAAGGGAAGTCTCCCAACGGTTATAGGTTTGAAAGCGCATGCAAGGTTTTAACAATAACCTCAGCTCAGGGACCTAATCTCCATTCTAGAGGCACGCTGGCCATGAAGGGCCCGTTCCATAACCGACCCCTGACAGCTTAGTCTTCCTTAGCACTGCATAATCTCATTTACTGGATTTGAACCTGTCATTTTGCAGCTGCTTACTACGTCCGCCCAGTTCCCATATGTGGCTCTTAACTGGTTTGTGTTCAGTGATTGATGGCTCAATCTTAAGGGACAGTTGTAAATATTTACAAGCGGAGAGCATCAAACAGTGTGACGTTTGTATAATAAAGAATTAATTTCCTTCTTCATTCATTCATTTTCTTTTGGCTTAGTCCCTTTAATCGTCAGGGGTCACCACAGCAGAATGACAGTGGCCAACTTATCCAATATGTTTTACACCCAGTGCAACCCAGTACTGGTAAACATTTATACACTCTCGCATTCACACACCTACACTAGCCAATTTTGTTTATTCAGTTCCCCTATAATGCATGTCTTTGGACTTTGGGGGAGCAACCGGAGGAAACCCAACATAGGGAGAGCATGCATACTCCACACAAAAATGCCAACTAACGGTGGCACCAATGGCGTAGTGGTAGTGCGTCGACACTCCGGTGCTCACGGCGACCCAAGTTCGATTCCCGCCTCAAGGTCCTATGCTGATCCCTCCCCTCTCTCTGCTCCCCATGCTTTCCCGTCAATACTCTCTACTGTCCTACCCATAAATGGTGAAAACCTTAAAAAAAATAATTATAGGACTGCAACTAACGCTTATTTTAATAATCGATTAATCTGTTGCATAGCGCAAGCTCTGTGGGCTTGGTAGCGCTGACAAGTGTGGGGGGAGATGAGAGCTGCACGAGCCCGATGGAGCAAGTGTGTGCATGTTTGGAGTCCCGTGAAGGAGCTCCAGATGGACCCTTTTGTTTTGTGTTTACCTTATGATTAAAGTTGTTGCACGTCCGCTTAATGTTTCAATGACGTTTGTTATGTTTGTTATGTGACACTGCAGCCACAATATCACTGTATGACAGATGTATCTCTTTATTTAGTTTTTTCCAGTTTAATTTAACATAATCACACACTTGCTCATCATGTCATCAGCTACCTGTATAAATGATCTTGATCCTGATTATAATTTGAGATGGGCGTTTACTCGCGGCCGCGTGTTTGCCTCATTCATAAAAGCGGAAAATGCAGGATTCAGCACATAAATTCATCAGTTACTCCACAAATACATGCAAATGAGTGGCTGGTGAACTTAGAGTAGAATAGATTTAACTTTAGTTTCACTATGTGTATCTGATATGAATTAAACACATCGGCAAATTGTATTTGAATGGATTGTTAGATTTCCATAGACAGTCTTGTGTGTTTTACAAACTCTAAATGTATTGTTTTACCAGTGCTTGTGTAAATTTACATAAAATAAGCATAAACATAAAACATAAAATAAGCATTAGGTGGTTTAAATGCTGCATAACTGTGATAATATGACAAGTCTTTCTCTGGCTCAGCGCCAGCCAACTCACCAAAGCTCAGTTTGAAACTTTCAGTCGCCGCTAAGGGTTAACGAGCGGACGCAAACTTGTCATGCTTGTCAAGCTAGATAAAGAGCAAAGACCAGCACCAGGGACTTTACATTCCTAACTTCAAAATGGAACAAAATTAGAATTCTGTAGTGATTTACCCTGCTGCTAAACTTCCTTCCTCCTCATCCTTTTCTATGAGGTGCCGAACTCTGTATCAGTTCATGAGATAGACCGTGTTTACTTCGCTCCGTGCTGAACTAAAGTGTTTTTTTTTTTTTTTTTTAAATAATCAAGCGTCACGTGACACACAACGTATCGATTATGAAATTTGTCGCCAACACTTTTGATAATAGATTTTTATCGAAAAAGACATAAATGCCATCTGACCCAGCAGACACCCGAACCAGTGACCTTCCTGCTGTGAAGTGACAGTGCTAACCACTGAGCCATTGTGCCGACAATTTCGATCTTTATCAAGTAATATTCCATTTTAGAAAAAACTGTTGGCTATACCACAACAAGTAACTATTCAAAGGGGAACACAGAGAAAAGAGGTGTAGTGCCAGATATTTCAGATGCCGTTTCCATTCGAAGATGCACATTTGATTTATGTGCGAAACTGAAATATTGCATAAAACATTTGCCTAATAAGTCACAGTTTCCATCCAATGAGTCAAAGAGAACAAAATTGTCACTTCTTAATAAACTGGCATCAAATCTCAAACAGAAAAAAAAGAATTTGCTAGACTAGAAGCAACTGTGGGCTTTTTTTTTAATATAATAAATTACCTGTACTTCAGAAGATGAAACCCAATGAACATACTGTGGATTTGAAGGCACTTGACCACTATTTGGGGGTACAGATGCTGTAGAACAGGGTGTACAAACTTGCTCCTGAGGGGCCGGTGTCCTGGAGAGTTTAGCTCCAACCCTAATCACACCCACCTGAACCAGTTAATCAACCTCTTACTAAATATCATATACTCGCTGGTGTGTTGGAGCTAAACTCAGCAGGACACCGGTCCTCCTGGACTGAGTTTGGACACCTCACGTCTAAAAAGTTTTGTAATAATACTGAACCACTTTGATGGACTTTGGCTGAAAGATTTTAAAATACCAGAAGAACATTTCTAATGCTGTGCAATGTGGCCTGTTTGCTGGTTTGTCCATTAATTCCATCCCATCACTCTCATTTTTGTTATCCCATAAAAAATGCATGTGCACAAGCGCACATCCAAAATGTGTATGGAAACAGCTTAGACACTCAAATGAATCAGTGACTCTTCGTTTTTGTTCAGGGCACATTTACATTTGAGCTTGGAATATTGATTTGATTTGTGATGTTCAGGCTCTGTATTAGACCCACTTACCCTCTTCTATCCTTGCATTCCGATTAGGTGATCTTGTATTTTCCTTCACACTCAATCTTCCCACATCTTTCCCACACTTTCTTCCTCTTAATCTTTTTAACCCTTAACCTAGGTCAGAGTTTTGATCAGGTCGTAATCAGGCCGATTGTGGGTTTAATTCTCTCCTCCCAACAATCCTTGGTAAAGACCAGATTAACTTGATGGTTCTCCAAATGATCTTAACCAGTTTTCCTGAGATGTGTTAAGAGTGGTTGAATCTTCTTGGTAAAACACAACTTCTTGGCGACACAGATCACACCTTGAGGACAAATGTGCGCACACAGTGGAAATTGTAGAGTAAAACTATATGATGCCTATTTGGAATTAGAGATGATGGAAGCATAACTTCTGACTTGCTCCATAATATCCCTGGTCCATGGTGATCCAGAACTTCACCCAAATCATTTTTGCCATAAATTTAAAAACGACATTGTTATTTTCCTAAAGTAAAACTTAACTTCAAGCTAAACCTCCCAGCAGTCTGATGTAACTGAATCTTTATATGTTAGATTGGTGGGCAGTTTAGATGTTTGTTGGCATGCATACACAGGGACTGCACATTATCCCTCTATTAGACAGGTGTCAAAGCCAGTTCCTGCAGGGCCGCAGCTCTGCACAGTTTAGTTTTAAGCCTAATTAAACACACTTGATCAAACAAGTCCCTCAGGCTTGTTTCAAACCTACAGGTAAGTGTGTTGAAGCAGGGTTAAAATCTAAACTGTGAAGAGCTGCGGCTCTCCAGGAACTGGCTTTGACACCTGCGCTCCATTGTGTGGCATTATTTGAAATCAAGGCATGGCTCTTTTGTTTTAGGAAGGTCTATCTATTAGTTATTATATATTATTAGTTATTACGATATGCGGGAACTGTGACTGAAAATTACTAAATGGATTTAACTCTCAGCCCTTTCTTTGAATTTTCTTTCAGCTGAGCATCGAGAAAGCCCAGGCCATTGCTGAACAGGTGGAGCTGAAGGCTAAGGTTGTGCAGTCAGAAGTAAAAACAATCACTCTCCGTCATAAGAAAGCCCTGGAAGAACGGGAATGCGAGCTGCTTTGGAAGGTAAATGAAATTCTTTTGAAAGTCTGTCTGTAAATTCTGGTATGATAGTCATTCCTTTGGATTGAAATACTTTCTGAAACATCAGGTACCATTTTTGTGTTCCGCACAGGTGGAGAAGATCCGCCAGGTGAAGGCAAAGTCACTCTACCTGCAGGTTGAGAAACTACATCAGAATCTCACGAAGCTGGATAGTACTATTGCCACAGTGACACAGGTTCTTGAAGAGGGCCGTAGCATAGACGTCCTGCTAGCCCGCGAGCACATGTTAAATCAACTACAGGAGCTCAAATCCCTCCGTTGCATTCTTCAGCCCCAAGAAGACGATCGCATCATGTTCACCCCTCCAGACCAGGCTCTTCTTATTGCCATCAAGTCCTTGGGCCTCATCAGCAGTGGAGCTTTCGCCACAGCATCCAAAGCTCACGGAGAAGGCATCAAGAGAGCGCTGCAAGGAAAGCCAGCATCCTTTACCGTTGTAGGATACGATCATGATGGAGAGCCTAGATTGTCCGGTGGTGACAGTGTCTCGGTCGTGCTTATGAGTCCGGATGGTAATCTGTCCAGTGCAGAGGTTTCCGACCACCAAGATGGAACGTACACGGTCAGCTATCTGCCTAAAGGCGAGGGGGAGCATTTGCTGTCTGTGCTTATATGCAATCAGCACATTGAGGGAAGTCCTTTCAAGGTGATGGTGAAGTCGGGTCGCAGTTACGGTGGTGTCGGTTTGCCCATGGCGTCTTTCGGTGGAGAAGGGGATGGGGACGGGCAACTGTGTCGACCTTGGGGGATCTGCGTGGATAAGGAGGGCTATGTGGTGGTCGCTGACCGAAGCAACAACCGTGTGCAGATCTTCAAGCCTTGTGGCACATTCCACCACAAGTTTGGCACTTTGGGCTCACGACCGGGCCAGTTTGACCGCCCTGCCGGGGTCGCCTGTGACAGCCAGAGGAGAATCATTGTGGCAGATAAGGACAATCACCGCATCCAGATCTTCACCTTCGATGGGCAGTTTCTTCTCAAGTTCGGTGAGAAGGGAACCAAAAATGGTCAGTTCAACTACCCATGGGATGTGGCCGTCAACTTCGAGGGGAAGATCTTGGTTTCAGATACACGCAACCACCGCGTGCAACTCTTTGGGCCTGACGGAACTTTCCTCAACAAGTATGGATTCGAAGGTGCCCTATGGAAACATTTCGACTCCCCTCGTGGCGTGGCCTTCAATCAGGAAGGTCACCTTGTTGTGACTGACTTCAACAATCATCGACTGCTCGTCATCAGGCCTGACTGCCAGTCTGCACGCTTCCTTGGATCCGAGGGAACTGGGAATGGCCAGTTCTTGCGGCCACAAGGTGTAGCCGTGGACCAGGAGGATCGTATTATCGTGGCGGACTCCCGCAACCATCGCATTCAGGTGTTCGAACCCAACGGCAACTTTTTATGCAAGTTTGGGACTCACGGTAATGGCTTCGGGCAAATGGATCGCCCCTCTGGTATAGCAGTGACCCCAGATGGAGTGATTGTGGCCGTGGATTTCGGAAACAACCGAATCCTCATGTTCTGACCTTTTTAAGATTTGAAATCCAAAACTGTGGACAAATAGAAAAGGAGATTTTGCACATCTATCAGGAGCAAATGCAGTTTGATCTTAGCGAGGTGACAGCAGTTGTAGGACTTTATAGTTTTGTACGATTCTCAATGATCACGTAACACCAAAATGCTTGCCGTTACAGCACAGTTTTGACTGCTGCAAGCTGAGAGCATTTCGCTTTTGGTATGTGTCTTCAAATCTTTTTTTTTTATTATTATTTTCCTTTTTTTTCTCAGGGAATTTCTTGCATTCTTGAAATATTTTCTCTCTGCATTACACCTACCTCATCTAGCTTATGTATGAATGTACTCGCGTTTGTGCAGAGACCTAGTCGGTGAAGTTTTGTTAAAAAAAAATTGTCTACCTCAGTGTTTTTTTTTTCTCGTAGAATGTGAGGGACATGACAGATAAAAGAAAAAAAGACAAACGAAAAAAAAAAAACTTAAATGAAGCAATGTTTGGATATTTGCACAGTTCGCACAATTTTTCCTTGATTGTTACTGTGCACAGAACGCAAGTTATATCCCTGAATGTTTCTCATAACTATGGACGAAAACAGAGCTGCATGTTTTGGCAGAAACATTAGGATAACGTTTTGATATATCTACTGCTATGTGTTCTTTTTTTTGTGTACATTTTAAATCGGACATCATCTTTATCTCGTACCTCATCTAAACTTATTACCTCATTTACCGTATTATACCTCTGGGTCCATGAGCCTCATTACACCATTTACCTCACTTTATGGTCTTTTCCATTTGAAAAATTATGCAAGCAGTTACCAAAAATGAATGTTGTGTAACTGATGAAAGAGACTGCAAAGCTAGACTAATAATTTAAAGACCTTAAGACCTTCATAATATAATCAAGAGTTTTGCTCTGACTGTGAGAAACGCAGCAGCAGAACAAACACCATGACTATTTTAGAAATTATGAAAAAAGTAGTGGATCTTCTTCAAAGAAGATCTTCAGGTCTTTTAGTTTCGCGGTGGGACATATTGACAGAATGTAGACACTAAATAGAATATCGAAGTGTAAAAATGGCCTAGCCCTTATCTTTTTTTTTCTTTTTCAAATGCACGATTCAGGCAAGGTATTTATAAAGAACGTTAAAATATAGGCACATGAATGAATGACTGACAAACAAGGATATAATCCAGGACTTTTTTTCATTTTTGTTTTATTTTGAGGCCGAGCTTGTAGGAGTCTCATTATGAACAGCTGCATCAGATCACAAGTTGGTTTTTGTTGTTCTATTGATTACAGCATAGCCTACAGTGTTTCCTGTGCCCATTTAAAGCAGGATCTCAAGGGAGACCATCCACTCCGTCAGCGTAACATCATTTGAAAACACTTAGAATCAATCGAGCCCAGTTTGAAATCGGATAGTTTGTGCCTGACTTGTGGGTAACCACTTTAAAGTGTTGTTTGCTTCTGCGTTCAATTGATTAGAAGAAGAAAGAGGAGTAGAAATATATAGCACTGGTATTCAGCGGAACAAAAGCACACGAGTCTCCCAATATAAACTTCTCTCGGAAGGAAAACGTGTAGGTCACTAAGATTACGTCATACCTCAAAACGTTTCTTGTTGTGTGAAGTTTTGCGAATGAGAATTAATCACTAAAGTCGTTCTGGGATTAACAGGTCCTTGTTCGTTTTTGTATGTTTCCCCGTTCTTCTCGTCTTAACATATGAGCGTTTATAGGAATTGCTTTCTGAATGCGTGCCGCACCACCGACTAGTCTGTACATATGTGTGGCAGGCCCACTTCCAGAACCTTAACCTTTGGGGTTAACTAGCATGATGTTTTGCGTTCGAGGTAAAATTGGAAATCGGGAAATCGTGGGAGGCCTAATTCGGAAAGTGCTCGCGTTTTCCTGTAGGCTGCAGTCAGCTTGTGTCCTGTCATGAGTATTAACGTGCTTGCATGTAGTTACCTGTGCCTTTCGTGATGCTAGATAAATCGAAATTTGAATGTCTTTGCCAAAGGGTGACTATAGGAAGTAGGCATGTGCCAAAAAAGGATTCCGAAAGTCACGGTTTTTGAGTATTTGTAAAGTGGATCTTTTTCGTTTCTTTGCGTATTACCTCATTCTAAACAAGATCTTCAATGTGGATCCTCAGGCATATTTATGTTGCGATTTAAAGGAGAGATGTGAATTATTATTATTATTATTATATGATGATGTTACTTTTTAAGAGTAGACAGTTAGATTTCGAAAATCGATAGGACTAGTGTGGGTATCGGAAGACCCCCGTTTGATGGATGTAAAGAGTTTATGCAATAAAGAAAGATTTGCTGCTTCCACCAACACAGATCTTCCCTGTCTTACAGTATTAATATCACGTTTGATCTGTTGACTATTTAGCGGTAAAGTTTTCACCCCTGCTCTCTTTAAGAGGCAACTTTAAATGTACTTTTATTCATATTATATTATTATTTTTGCATGCTGTTAAAGTCCTTGTAGGCTGGTGGATGTAAAATGGAGGAAGGACTTTATACTGTACCAAAAACAAACAAACAAAAAAAAAGTGAATTATCATTTAAGTTGTGGTGAGTGGTTGACTATATGATTGTACTATTCCTAGATAGCTTTTCAGAGTAAGGTAACCTCATCCGTTCAGATGCCTTACCACAGCTTAGCTTTAGCTTTTTTTGGAATCGAATCAGAACTGGAAAACTGCCAAAGACCTCGTTCAAGTGAAGCCTCCGCGTGTGGATGTTATTTATGAAAACCTTTTATTTTATTTGCTTTAGTTTGTCCAATCATTTTGGCGTCGATCATTCTAATATTTGAACACGCTGTCTGTTTTAACCGAGGACGTCGGAGTTTGTGTGAAACACGAGGTTTTGAGCAGGTGCCCTGCAGGACCAAAGATGGAGAGAATATTAAAGTAAACGTTTGAATCCAGCTCCCACGGTTATCATCGAAAACTGATCTCCGACTGTGTGGTGGTGGTAGTGTTGATTTTGGCTATAGAATCAGGCGGCCGTTTTATGTGGGATTTGACGACCCGAGAGAGATCAGTGTAGATAAAAGTATGTAAAACCCCTTTAGCGGTGATTTGGACACGTTACAAGTGTACATTTGAGAGACAATTCAAGGACTGAAACTGTGATCTAGATATTTAGTCGAACTCAGTCCGTGTCTTTGAATTTCAGATCATAGCCGTTTGTTTTCGTTTTGTTTTGGACCTCTGGTCTCTAATTGTACGGGTTTTGTCACCATTTCTGGTGTATTCCAGCTTATGACTTCTTCCTTACTGGGGAATAACAGAAAATGTAAGTTCAGAATTGTGTGGTCGTAGACCCTTTTATTGATTGTATTATCTTAAGGAAAAAAAAAAGAGATGTGTATACACACATTAAAACAACTCAGGTAGCTTTGTAGAGATTTGATTAAAATTCAATATTTGTTTCCTACAGTTTGATAGTGAATCCTTTTGTTTAGTACCTCATGAGCTTTTTGTGTGTTGTTTTGATGGTAAAATAATGCTGTTATTGAATACCATGGGATCATTTTCATCCATGTCACAGTGAGGGGGTGAACAATCCATAACCTTTAAACCAGCATGCGTCTCTCTGTTTTGTTTTAAACTACCATCACAAGAAATAATTACCAGATGAATGGAATGTTTGCATTCAAAGGCTGCTACAAACTTCATTTGCCTTGAGATGATCAGAAATGCCTTCAAGCTTGATAAGACGCTAGTTTTGGGCAACTGTGTTTCTCGGATAGATGTTTAGACCTGTTTTTCAGGCACTGGCATATGTACATCAATACTTTCCAAAACCCTTAAAGTCTCAGTGCTTTTTTTTAAAGAGGCTTGGCTGTGAGACTGGCTAAGCGATGGCTTTGGGGAGATTCTGCCCCAAAGCTCTGACCTGGAATCAATTTTGCCTTTTAAAATACAACGATTAGGGTAGAATCAAAGTAGCAAATGCTGATTCCAGGTCAGTTGTCTTCTCAGGTGGATTATATTGGCTGAGGAGCCCTCCAAGAGGCCTGACATCTCTCTCGGTTTTTGTGTGTGTGCGTGTGTGTGTGCGTGTGTGTGTGCGCGTGTGTGTGCGCGTGTGTGTGCGCGTGTGTGTGCGCGTGTGTGTGCGCGTGTGTGTGCGCGTGTGTGTGCGCGTGTGCGTGCGCGTGTGCGTGCGCGTGTGCGTGTGTGTGTGTGTGTGTGTGTGTGTGTGTGTGTGTGTGTGTGTGTGTGTGCGCGTGCGCGCGTGTGTGTGTGTAACTTTACATCAGATCAGAGTCACCCCCTCAACCAAAGCAACAGAACGGTCATTTATTACTCTGAATAAGGCTGACGAGACTATATAAAATATGAAGTGGTCTGCGGTCTTGTTTTATCGTCTTTGTGGACTTTAAACATTTCCTATGCAGTTTATTTTTTTTAATGTTTGGTTGTTTACAATTAAATAAAGTTGTACCTCTTTGGATTCTGTATTTGAGTGTTTTTTATTATTATTATTAAACTATGAATATTTAAGCTTTTAAACATTGAAGTCTGTTGTATAACTGTTAAAGTCTGTGTGTGTACAGGTTTATAGGGGTTTACTGGGAAACTAAGATGCATGTTGACAGTTGTTTGAATTGGATGTACACTATTAAGTTGGTTTAAAGGGACACACCTTTTAAAAGTATATGATTTTGGGCTGTTTGGAGAGATTAGTCAAGTCACCTTTATTTGTAAATGCATTATATACAATGTCGGTTGTCAAAACTCTACAAAGATGAACACCAAAATGATAAAAACCAGATAAATATATGTAACCCACTGGTCCCATTGCACCCAACCCGCTCTGAGCTCGGATTGAACTGGGAATTCTTTCTATGCGAGTCGGTTGCTCTATCAAGGAGCAAGGCCTCTAGTGTCTGTTGCTAGAGCACCTTTAGAGGTCAGAGGAGTGAGGTTTTCCTGCATAGCACTTTGCTAGCTGGCCTTTGTTACAATCTCCCCCTAAACCTTACTCCCATCCCGGACGAGCCCCCACGTGTAACCTGCTGGTCCTACTGCACCCAACCCACTCTGAGCTGGGATTAAACCGCTGATTCTTTGTGTAGGTGTCGGTTACTATAACAAGGAGGCTAAAGACCATGGCTGCTCGAGCACCTTTAGAGGACAGAGGAGTGAGGTTTAAGCCTGGTTTTTACTCTGCGCATTCACTTGAGTGCGCACGGCGAATGTGACGTCATTGTGTTCGCAGAGGTTCGCTTTGGGTGCGTGCGACATGATTTCAGCGCCGCAACTGATTGGAGTTGAATATGAACCGCTCTTAAGAGATTTTGTCTGAAACTGGTGCACACATCTCTATAATCCGTGATTATTAATAATTGTTGGCTAGAATGTTTTTGTTAAAAGGTTTGGAAAAACCTGAGGGATACGTTTGTTAAAGCCAAAAGAGGCCAAGTGGAGACCCAGGTGCACAATTACAGAAATAGGTTTCTGCACCAGTCATGGGTTTTACACTGTATGTTTAATTTTAATTTAAAACAACATAATAGTTACAAAACTATAATTAAGGAAAAAATTATTTCTTTGATAACTGGAAAGAAATGTTTGGTAAACTTCTTCACTGTTTATCCGCCTGACTTTACGGTGGGTTTTTTTGACCCCTGTCATTTTAAAGAATATCACAACAGCGAACGCGGCAAGTATTAAAAACCTCATCCATCTCTAGCTGGCCTCCGTTACATACATTTAATTTTTGTGCAGCGTAATATGTGTTATGATAACGGCTGTGCATCTGCATTGCATCAAACTAGTAAATGGGTATTTTGGCCATGCAAGGAAGAATTAACTACATCACACAGTTCCTGTAAATTTTGGATTTCGCTGATCACCCCACGAGTTTTCAATTATGTTGAGTTCAGGGGATTGAGCTGGCCACTCCATTAACAGTTCTTTTTGCCTGCAATCAAGATCTAGCTCGATTACTTGAGTTTTGTGGTCATTGTCTTATTGAAACTCTAATTTCAGGGGAATTTCCTCTTCAGATTCCTCTTTAATTCTAATTTACCTAAACTGATCCATGATAAATGAATGATTTATTTGGTGGCCCATTTGATGATTTTAACAACACCATACTGCACGGTCTTTACAGTCTAGAGGTTTGATTTGCAGGACCGTTGCCATTCTAACAGTTTTTCTACCCATTTTAAGCAGATTTTTCTGCCTGTTTCAGTTTTTTGTCACTTAAAAGCGTTTTTATGTTTTGATTTTACATGACAACAGCTGGGCCTATTGTTTTTACAAGTTTACATCCACAATGAAATCCTTTGCAATGCACATATTGTTATTGCTTCAGCCATTATTGTTTAGACCGGAAACCGCTTTACGCTAACGGTTCTTCTGCATTCCAATTTCATACACGTGAAAAAGGTTGTAGCTAGATCTGATATGGTTGCGGCCGGAAGTTAATGAGAATAATTTAATTAATTGCAAAATTTCCCATTTATTGTATTTTATTAGCGTCTACCCCCACCCCAACCCAACCCTAAACTCAACCGTCACAGTAACGTAAAAACAGTAGTTGTACGAGTATAATTTATGCTATCTATTAAATTACCCAATAAAATGTATTTTTAATGCCTACCTCCACCCCAACCGTCACAGTATCATAAAATATTAATTATTGTTATACACAGTTATAAAAAATGCTACTATATTTGAAGTACATATCGCACTTCCAGTCGGCCGTGTACCCGATATAGACTTTACCTGTGAAAAGGCCTATTAGCAGAGAATGATAAAAACAGACTGAGACATCCAAAACATGCCGTGTTGGTAGTCCTCCAGGAACGTGGTTGAGAAACACTTCTCTAAGGTAAGAAGACTTCAAGACGTGTCCAAATTGTAACTTCCTGTCTTGGGAGGTTCGTTATTTAATCTAAATTTTTAAGCCAGCATTGATGTATTAGTCACAGCCCTTCGATATCCGACAAGCCTGTGCACTCCATTACTGACAGTTGAGCTAAAAAATAAAGGATGGAACCTCAAAGCGTTGCTTGGCTCGCAATGTAGGTGTAAATGTAAGTTTTTGACCAACTTCTGATGGGATTTCTAGTGAGAAGATACTTTTGTAGTTAGCAAATATCCCCTCAATTATCACCAAAGCACTCTCTATCTGATTAAATCCGTTAATTTGTCTCAGAAGTCTTTCTGAAATCCATTTAAAAAGGTCTATTGTGCAGAAACACTGCCTCCGGGGTCACTGGAACAAGTCGGCAGCATAAGCAGCCATGGTTTCTCTTACCATTGTTATGCTAACGGAACAGCTTTATTCAGCAGCACACCCACTCATGGAGGAACAAGAAAGCCATTTTGACTAACTGTGGAAGTGAGTGCTATCGGGTCTGTTCTCCAGACCTCGCTTAGGCCCAATCCCAATTCTACCCCTTAGCCCTTCTCCTTACCCCCTTGTCCCAATTCTCTTTAGTTTGAAGGCTAAGGGCAAGGGGTATACACAACCCTTCAAATGAAGATTTTTCAGGACCACACTCAAAACCAAGAGGTAAGAAAACTTTCCCAGAATACACCAGCCACAGCTGTACCCGGAAGGAGATTCACAATTTAGTATTTTTTGTCATTATTACAAATTTTTACAACAAACAAACACGTTTTAATATATTCATAACCGCGTTCGTGTTAAAAAAAAACGCTAAAATAAAAACCGCTACATTCCGCGATCTATAATCCCTAATATTAGCTTTTGTACAGCAGTCCCATAACTTTCTGACACTCGAATATCCTGTCAGAAAAGTCTAGTGGCTGGGAATGAGCTTTTTACAGTGTCTGCTATAATCTTAATGTTGTTTTTGGTGTGTTCACAGATGAATATGGCCACTGTGTATGGATCTTATTGCCACATCAGATCGTTATGATAACATGATATATGCCTTCAGTAATTTCCTGAAGATAAATACCAAAAAATAACACAACTGGAATCACTACAGCAGTCGCCATCGTCTGATCTCATATGAAGCAAGAGATCGCGATGACATATGATGACGTGTGCAGGTGCTGTAGTGCTGTCCCATTTCTCAAGGCTGATTTATACTTCTGCGACAAACACCGGTGTATGCTACGGCACTGACGCATAGCCCTACGCCGTGGCTGTCGCCGTCACTGACGTGCACCTCTCAAAAAATGTAACCACGTCGCAACAACGCGTAGCGCAAGCTCTGTGATTGGTTGGCTTGGTAGCGCTGACGAGTCTGGGCGGGACCGAGAGCTGCGCGAATGGCGCAAGCCCGATGCAGCGATTGTTTACAAGTGTGGAGTCCTGTGAAGGAGCTCCGAATGGAAAGTTTTGTTTTGTGTTTACCTCATAGTTAAAGTTGTTGCACGTCCGCTGGTTCCTGCCTCAAAATGAGCGAGTTTGAGCCACTTCATTCAGGAAGTGTTCAGGAAAAGCAAAACATCAGCGAAGAAACTCGACACAGAGGAACATTTACACCTCACTGCCAACTAGCGTTTTGGAAGTGTTAATGCAGACCAACAGAGACAGCGCGCAGAGGTATAAATGCACAGCTACGTGCGTTGCATGCGCCGTGGGTTACGCCGGTCACTTGACGCAGAAGTATAAACCAGGCTTCAGGGGTAAATTTTGAAGCCCTTTCCCTTGTCCCTCGGGGAAGGATTAGGGGTACAAAAATAGAATTGGGATTAGGCCTAAATAAGAGGTGCTAAATAAGCTAGATTTGTTTTTATAAAAAGTGTCCATCTCATGAACCCAAAATTGTGCAGAAACCCCACAAACAATACTAAAAAACGTCTAAGAACTTTACCCTTAATTTTATTTTTAAACGTGTAGTAGCCTAATCAGCAAAAGCGAATGTTCTGTAAAAAAGCGAAAACATTAAACAATGAAAATCAAAGTTAATTCTAATGTTGTAAATTCCAGTTCTCAAAGTAAATTCCAATCCTAATTCTGAGCCGTGCTAAGTAACGTTAACACTAGAAAGGTTAACAGAGAGTACGGAATAATTACTTAAGTGAAGATGTATGACAAACATACCCGTTGTTGTTTCCTATAATAATTGCCATAAGTGTCTGTCGAAGGCGTTTTCGTGCTGTCAACAATGATTGGGGAGGGTCAGTAAATCAGCTACGTCGGTGGCGTCAATCAATTCACAATAACTTAGTGGTTGCAAATTATTAATTTATTAATTGAAATATTGTAAATCTCCGTAACTACATTTAAATTAATAACATAAACAACGAAATTATATTGGGGTGGCCAGAGTTTACACAGGGGTGGAGGCGCCCCTGATTTGGAGGGGTACATATTGCTGAGCAGCGAATGTAAAACAATGAGAAGACTTGTGCGTCCGCATTTACGCTTCTCTCCTGATCTTAAAAATATAATTGGCTGAATCGTAGAAAAGCTGAATATAAGATCGTGTGTAGGGTAGAATCGAGATCGAAATCTTTTTT